CATTCCCACGGGTTATAATTGCTATTGAACGCCGCGATGTACAACCCCTTCACCACGACGAGCAGGCTCATCCCCAGTCGGTGTTGGGCGACCACTTGTCAAAACTAAGCAATCTCCGACAGTATATTGATGAGAGCCAAACCAAAGCGTCTCCTGGAGGCCAACGATGTCCATTCCATACTTTTTGAGCTGACGACACACAAGGTCAATTTTTCTCTCCTCGCGAATATTCGAACAAACTTTCCTTGATTTTTTTGCTTTGGACGCCGTATTCAAATTTCCGTCAGTGTCGACAAGAGTCCTGACGTTCCACGTTCCCAGAGACAGAACAACCTTTCGAGCCGCTGGTGCACGCGAGTGAAAAGACTCTGGGCGAGGGTTTGCAAGACCTCTACACCCAGGCGAAAGAGGGTCAGCGCGAGTGGTCACATCCGAAGTGGCCATGTCGTCAACGCTGAATTTTTCCTCCTCCGCGGCAGCAAGATGAAGACTGCCTTGTCTAACACCGCGTCACACACACACACACACACACACACACGCATACACACACACACACACACACACGCACACACACACACACACACGCACACACACACACACACACACACACACACACACACACACACACACACACACATACATACACCCCCCCCCCCCCACACACACACACACACACGCATACATATGCAAGAACGGGCAAACACACATAGCAGCATGTTTGGTAGTTGCAAAAAGACAAGCATATCTTTGCAAATTCCTTTGGTTAGTCAATCGAGAGAAAAAAAGAGAAGAAAAAAAACACTTTTCACGTGACACTCTGCTGGAAGCCGAGTTTTCCGCATCTGCAGGAACGCCACCACCCCCTAGGATCAAGGCGCAGATGCAGCTCCTAAGGGGTGGGAAGTGAGTAGATCAGACCCAACACAAAATGGTCAAAGGCCGAAAATCCCATTCACTGCATCCATGTTTTCCTCGTGCCAGGCCACGAGCTCCCAATTAACTGTGGGTAGCGGCACGGCTGGGAAGGTCCTTCCTGTTCCAAGCAAAACTTGAACCTGGTACGCTCTGTTTGTCAATCATGGTCTCAGACCATATCACTATGCCCACCTGCATTCCACATTGCCTGCCTGCTAGGCAATCGGAAAAAAAAGAAAAAAATCATTTCCCTGTACACAGTGACTCCCTGATGATACCAAATATGGCACAGGTTCCTGGCATGACTTACAAGATGTTCAGAGATACTTTATTCTTATCAGTATCGATGATGGCGTAGCCAGCTGACGCAGCAAGCTGGTTGCCCGCGGTGATGCCCGTCAGATCGGCGTGCAGATCTGTCGACAGTCACACACACAAACAGAAAATGGACAGTTATATGTGTACGCACAAACACACGCGTCCACACACACACAAACGCACGCGCGCACCCCCCCCCCCCCCACACACACACATATGGATGTTTTGTAATACCCTATGATACAACACACTGTATTACAAAGCGTGAACTTTGTCACCTTGGATGCCTCGCATGGCCGTGATTGTCCTGGGGTTGACTATGCAGACAGTGCACAGTGCGACTTAACTACAGTGCTGGCAACTGAAATCCGACCCACTGGGCGGCGCGCCCCGACGCCCAGTGGGTCGGATTTCAGTTGCCAGCACTGTACTATGCACATGCACCCTTCAAAACAGAAATTACATGTAAAACCGGAAAACCTGGCCTAAAAATAAACTTCAATTGTAGCGAAAACAAAGTATATAGCCAGAATTGTGAAGCGATGCAGAGACGGAATCTGGAGAAAAAAACTAAAATATTTAAATAAATCCCATCGAATTTTGCAAAACACTACGCGTCTATAGTTTTTGAAATGGATTGTTACTACTATGCACATGCACACGGTGAATTATTGACAACGTACGTTTTTCCGGGATAATGAAGTCTCCGGTGATGATTCCTGAAGCTAGGGTGATGGAAATAGTCGTGGTACCGACGAATGCATTGACAAAGGTGCTGTTGTCGGGATACACAAATCTCACAGCATAGGTGCTGGGCTGAAATTGTCATACAACAAAAAAGCACATTCTATAAGACTAGTGCAATACTATTCGCTATATATATTTCCCTTGCGTCCAATCGTGTTACTGTAAAACCGGAAAGTCTAACAAGTCAAAAAGTGTAACGTGTTGACGAACAATTTTTTCGTTATTTGAAGAATCGTTATCACGAACCCGGTTTGAGATGTCTGTATAAAGATGTGCATGCAGATGGGTGGCCAGGTAGCCATCGTTAAATTTTCTGCACGGTATCATGCCCAAATTACAAAAGCGTTGAATCTTTGTTCGTTAAACTTTCCGATTTTACGGTATCATGCTGTGAGTGGCCACAGCGATTAGATCAGTGTATATCCGAGCGATTAGATCAGTGTATATCCGATTACCGATGGCAGTTTTGAGATTATCGGCAAGATGGAGATGAAATTTGAAAACGTTTTATCAAAGATCCGTGTAATTTTTCCACGGACCTTTCATAAAACGTTTTAACATCTTGTCCAAAAGTGGTGGTGGGGAGGGGGGGGGGGGGTGAGCAGTGTAGCTAGGTGAGTCCAGGAGTGGGTGTGATCCTGGAAGCCAAAAGCAGGATTCACAGAAGCATTAGTGCAATGTGATGCGAGATGAGACGACCGCGAAACGGGGATGTCCCAAAATGGTAACCACCGCACAGCTCACACAACCGTCACAACTGGCCCATCGCAGAAGTTGAGCTTGGCTCAACTTTCGCGATGCGACATGCGGTGCATCCCAATGCCCATCACATGACCCACCCCATGCCGCATGACATGGTCAGTCACATGAGCGACACATCACATGACATATTACATGACATCACATGACACATCACACGATCCACAACATAATCCCACCGCTAGTGTCAGCCCAAATTTGCCGGCAATTCTTTTGGCATAATATCGAAACATTTTAGAAAAAGAATTGCCCGGCATATTTGGAGCATAATTTCGAATTTTTTGGAGATTTTCACCGTGATTTCGCAGATACTCGAAGTTTCACGTCCAGCGCCAGAGGTACATGCGAGTATTGTACTAGGTCCATGCTCAAAACTAAATTCTTTTGCATGGCAGCTTGGTAATGAGCATTGTGAGGTCAATCTTCACACTTCGAAATTTGAACCCAGCAAAACCGAGCAAATTTCGATGTTTTTCTCAAATTTTCTCCAAAATTTGGTCCAAATTTGGCGTTTTTGAAGCTGTCATTGAGCATAATCAGAGCAAAATATCGTCTTCGCCCGGAAATGCCAAGCATAATATCGAAAGAAGCGCAGCAAAATTATGCGGCATAATATCGAAAAGTCTCGAGCAAATTTGGGCTGACACTACCCACCGCTTGCCTATCACATGACATATCACATGACACATCACATGACCCATCACATGACACTTAACACGATCCATTTCTTCACTCATCCGCTTGCCCATCACATGACACATCACATGACACAGTACACGATCCAAAACATGATCCATCCGCTTGCGCATCACATAACCCTTCTCCTCAGGCTCAGTAGTACTCACCGCGACCACATTGGTTTCCTCCAAAGGTGTGACCTCCATGGCCTGGACCATTGGACCGGTGAACGTGATTGTCGCATCTGCAGGCATCAGACAAACAAATTAAAAAGACACAGCATTTTGTTTACAAAATAGCTACAAACCATCATGGTGAAAATGCCAGGAAAAAAGCACAGGAATATACATAGCAATGGCAGGCAAAGCAATGGACGCGGGGCAAAAGCGGGTAAACTGAACAATGGGAATGCGATGTAGGTCAAAGATTGCAGCAGTGCTAAGGCAGGTGTTGTCATTGCCATTCCAGTGTTCACCTTGCCCGCAGCGTTCCGGGAATGTTCAGTATGCGATTGATTACGTGAAAACAATAATAGCTTATTATACCCACACCTACCAGTGAATACTACAGACTATTAAACATTAGAATAATTATTTGAATAGCTATTGTTGGTAGGAATGATGGATGAGGGGGAATGAAGAAATTGAAAACCAACTTGGGTTAAACTTCACTGCACTTTATAATTGATTACGTCTTTCTGTGAGAACCGGACCTATGGGAGGGTGGGAAGGCAATCATGCCTGTGCAATTGGTGAAGTAAAAATTAATAAAAGTCAACGACAACAACTTAAGTTGTCTTGAAGTACTTACTTGAGAAAGTGGCATTGGGGGAGCATTGAAGCACCACAGTGTGCCACTGTGTCGTGTCGTCAAAGCCAGAACGAGCGGCACAAACATACGGAGAGCCACTACCTGATGCAACAGCAAGCATTTCATCTAAGAAGCAGGCGCAGACGGATTGACAGAGAGAAAAACACACCATAAAGAGCAGCAAAGTATTCATTGGTTTGAGGGAAGGGTGCTTACGGGAAAAGTCTGAAGAGAAAGTGACTGTCACCACCAGGACGCGAACCAGCGATATTTGCTTGAGGCCAGCAATGCTCTAACCACTGAGTTATGGTGTAGCTGTTATCCTACCAGAGACTGTTCAACATTTTCTTCAGACTCCGTAGTGCTAACGCAAGCACAATTGTGTCTGCGCAAAAACATTTCCCACAACCAGCCATAATGCCAACTGCATAGTAGTTGCGCAGGGTGACCATTGACTTCCTTCACTGTGATTGCTTGTTCAAGTTTGGCAATAGGGACCTTTCGCACCACGCGTACAGATACAAAACGAATGCTGATTCGTCACCTGGGTTCAAGGATTCGTCAGAGTCCCTGCGGAGAGCTCGTTTTCACGAATGGAAGCCTCTTCATTCGTGGCGTGCTCCGAATCCGTCGGGTACACATTTATTTGGCCAGGTACGAGCTTGTACACATATTTTGCCAGGTACACCTTTTTCCCTTGATTCCATGATCCATGCACGTGTGGGTGTAAACACCCGTACGGCCGTATTCGTAGTTGCCATGCACATTTGCGT